TAGATTGATAACAAATTGAAGGCACATTCTTTTGAAAGTGGTCGGCGCAAGCAAGGCTTGAGGCGAGAGACAGATGATTACCCAATATAACGAGCTCCGAATCAGAGCTTTCAATAGTGAGAACTGTTTCACGCCCAAAAGCCGACACTAGTGCCAGGCTGAGACCGCTATGCAGCCCTTCATTCTGAACAGTGGCAGACTGGGTCGGAGCAACCCTATTTACATCGAGGATGACAGGTACAGTATCCAGCGGCTCGGTAGCACCATCCTTGTCATCTCGATCATGAGTTGCAGAATCAAAGTTCTATCAAGCATCAGCAAGTTGGTCTAAAGAGACTCGGGAGAGGCCGGCTCCTGTCACACAGGGAGGATACATACCAAGCGCAAGTTGAAACGCGCCAGTGGTATATAACCTATTGGTACCCGTGAGTCCGATAACCCATTGAACTGTCTAAGACTCCGAGTTGCCGAAGCCAGCTTGCGACGTTTACTCGGATGCTCATGGGTCACTGGCTGCTCGGGCCTGACGAAGGCAGTGGCCAATGATTCCGGAACATTGCCTGGAGCGTGAAGATTAGTAGAGAATATTAAGACATGCCACCCTAAAAGACGTCAAGAAGTTGTACCAGGATAAGAAATTTCTGCATTCAGTACAGTCATGCCGCCCCCTCTTGTCTCTGACGCCTCAGCTTGCCACCAAATGAGTGTTGAGTCGAGTAATACTCTCTCACTGTTGCTCCGATACGGCGATCTGATAAGAAGATCTCACGTGCTGATAGGGCTGGGTTATGTTAAGTCCGGAAATTTTCCGTTCTAATCATTGGCTTAGTCAGTCAATCGTGGCTCGGTCCCGGATCTGTACAAATAGATAGATAACGCAGAGGCCATGGAAACATGCTCTGCAGTGACGTATAAATTGGAAGATTCGTTCATATAGTTTGAGTTTCATCTACTTTTGATCACGTTTGGGTCTCATACATGTTTGCACCATGATCTCGGGCACCGCATGCCTCCTAGCTGTCAGTGTCGGGTCTCTGCTCTGGACTAGTCCTGTTGCTGGAATTACAGCGTTTCGCAAGTGAGATGGGTTATCATTGTTCACTTACGATAGAATACCATGGACCGTATTTCTGTTTCTCTTGTTGCTGTACAAACCATTTAGAACTGGCGTTAGGCCTTACTTCATAATATAATTTTCTCTATTCTATCTAATCCCTGCTTTACAGATTAGTCCTTTCGTTCCCAAGGGCCTGCTTACAACATCTAAATGAGGGATCAGGATCTACAACTTAAATTCCGCATGCGGCATCATTAGCTGGACTCCGTGTCAGTAATCTTCTCGCGGACCTACACTGTCACTTCCTCATCTTGTGCTTTTGAGCATAGTGGTTTTTCTTTTAGGTACAGCGCCTGCCGCTTTCGTAACCAAGGAAGTGCTATGAGTTGAATGGACCAGATGACGGAAATGATCGACCAAGGTAAAGGCACAATAGCAATATGCAAGACGTTTTTTCGCTGTCCTATTCATAGAGAACGCCAAATCCTGTTGGCTAGTAGATAATATTTAGCTGATATGACCGTTCCGGACCCTGAATGCGATTATGGCCCTCGTGTCTTCCAAATCATCCCCTAGAGCTGGAAAAGCTCCCTCAACTGTCTCATGGTGTCATCAGGGTCCTCAACGGAGTGACCGATCGTCCTAGGGTCACTGTAGATCTCGTAGTCGTTACCACCAGGGAATGTCTTGTCACCGAAGAAGTGGATCGTCTTATAATCGATACCCGTAATATCTTTCTCGGCTTCGACGTGTTGTAGGCAGTAAGTCTTGTCCCAGCCGGTCGGGAAAACGTCAAACGAGATTTCACCACCAATGGAGTAGCTGTTCAGAACTGTTAATAACTGTAATGACCATACGCAGTCACTGAAGGCCTGGTGATCCTATTACATACCTCAAACCATAGTCAGGGAACTCCTTCTTGAGCGCATCTACAAGGTCGCGGCGGATGTTGTGAATCTTGTCATACCTGCTCATAAGTTTAGTCAAGAGGTCCTGTATATATGGGCACCGAGCTACCGCTCGTATACATACGCTTCAAACTCCTTCCGTTCCTCGGTGCTAGCATTTCTGCCAATCGGGCTGACGTTGATCATGCCATTGCGGAATTCGACGAAGGTGCCGCGCTTCTTAGGAAGCTCCAAGTTGGCGATGTACTTGAGCAAGAAGTTGACCAACTTCTGATATTTTTCCTCTCCCAGCCATTGGATGAAGCTGTTGCTTTGAAGAGGCTTGCCCAGGCGGAAAGCGGTCAAACCGTTCTCGGCGAAGCAGAAATCGAATAGGGTTGTGACGTCCGTGGTGTTTCTACCGAGCTGTTCTTGCTGCTTGGGAAGATTCGAGCCACCGACCTGACAATGTGAGACTGCGCGCTGAGCCTAAGAGGAATGAAGACAACTAACGAATCCGATCGCGCACTTGTGACGCAACTGAGAGAGAAGGGTGAGCATCTCCGGGGTGACATTCTATAATCAGGGTAAAAAAGATACAGATTAGTCTTTCGAAATACTAAACGAATAGAGAGAGCAATTCCAAGGAGTTGATCATTTCATTCTTGCGAACTTACAGCTCGGGCAGGCGTTAACGTCTTGTCGACATCAAAGAGACAGATTGTGCCCTTGAGGGGGCGGTCCTGCAGGGCAGGATAAATTCCGGCTGCTTCAGTGGCCATAATTGATATAGATTTGGAAGAGAGTTGAGGAACAAGGTAAGTGAGAGAGACTCTGAAGCCAAAGGCGCAATTGACTGAGGGGCAATTGGACTATGTATCTTTTCAGGGGCGGACGTTGTGACAGCCGCATGCGGTGAGCTGGAGGGACAAGCGGGGGTTCCAGACAAACATTCTTACAGCTTAACCGTATCGGGCGGCTTCCAGACAGCTAGGCAGTGAGGCACCAAGGCCAGGCCCAAGGCGGTCAATCTCCAATTTCTCCATACGGATGATCCACGTGGGGCTTGCTTCGCTTATCGATAAGTGTGATAAGCCATACGGTGGTTGCTGAGAAAGTCGCAGGGAAAGGCGTAAGTAGTACTACTCCGTACATCTATTGCCGTTGCCATTGTGCTTGTTCCTCTTTCATCTGTAGTGAATATATCTCTGATTCCGAGCGCACAGATACTGATAGTGTATTCAAGTTCCATTAAGACTAGCTACAGGCCAATAAAACTCTTGTATGAGGCAGACAACAACGCCAGACCAACTCAAACTCCTATCCATCGCGTGAAAAGTCAACGGCCCATGGTCGTCTGAAAAACCTTGGCTGCTAATTCACTCAAAAGCCTTGCTCGATCTGTTTGAGGAAGCTGGAGGAAGACATCGTAAACGCTCTTTCCTTTGGCATCTCGCACTGCACCAAGACGATTGCCAGCGACTGCGCCAGCCAATGCTCCTGGAGCATTGGCTACGATGAAACCGAGAGCACCACCACTAATCCCACCTACAACGGACCAGAACCGAGATGTCGGGTGTGAACGAGTCTGACCGTCGGCATCTGTGCCTTCGCTGGCAAGGCCCTCTTCACGCAGCATTTCTTCAAACACCGACCCGAATTGCTCATTTGCACGTTGCTCACTATCAGCAGTGCCAGTGCCAGTGCCAAAGCCAAAAGCGGACCAGGGAAACCCTCCTGCACCTCCACGGGGCACTTCCTCCTCTTCCTCCTCGACACCGCCTGCCATCCTCATCGCATCATACTCCCGTCGGCGTGATACATCTGACAACGTGTAATAAGCATCGCTAATCTCCTGAAACTTGCGTGTCCGAGCCGCCCTCTCTGGTGAGTCGACAGGGACTCTGTCTGGATGAGACTTGAGAGATTCCCTACATGGTTCAATACAGAGCATGGTTGCGGCATGATGGGCATTGGCTCACCTTTTGTATGCATTGCGAATCTCTTGTTGTGTCGCTCTGGGAGACACTCCCAGTACCTTGTCTACATTTGGCATTGATTAGTTCGGACACTTTCTATACAGTATGTAGAAGTTGGCATTTCGTACAATAATCGCGTTGTTCTAATCCACAGTCAGCTCATATGTTAAAGCCATGAAACACGTTCGTGCACGCTTACTAGGCATGTCTAGATGTCTCTATGTTAGAAGATGTACCGTGCTCCAAACTCAGATGGTGAAGAGCCAGATGAGTGTAGCTTCATTCGTGTCCACTCTTCCTGAGAGGTCATGACTTGGCGGGGGAAAGATGACGTCGACGAGGCATTCATGCCTCAGGCATCAGGAAGCACGGAACGAAGGTTCGGCCTTTTCCAGCGACTCGGTTCTGACTAAACAGCAGAGACGGGAAGCCCCTGAGGGCAGCCACCAATCATGGGGATGGCGCCAAAGTTAGGACTCCCGGAACCACTGTCACCAGCCACTCGTAGAGAGCGCTGTACGTACGCTGCAGATGCTAGCCACTGCTAGGAACACACTAAACAGTAGGCACAGTTCGGTGTCTAGTGATGGTTTTCAGCTTTGCCTCCTGCACAGACGGGGGAGTCTCACCTAATCCCCTCCCCCCTTCATTTCATTTAACTTCCCTCGCACGGCTCGCCATGCTACTTTAACCCTCTCAATTGCACGCCTTTTAGGAGACTCAAAGTTGTCTATGATAGATTAGACTTGCAGTCACATTCAATTGACAGCAGTGTGGACAACCCCAGCTTGTGACTTGTCCAACATCCGCACCGCGACTCAGCTGTGGAGCTGGCCAAAACGCCTGGACCTCAAATTGTGTGCATTTGCAGCACGCTACGACTCCGCAATAGCGCGATTGCTTTTTACAGGCTTCACCAGCACACAATACATCCAGAGGGGTCATACTGTCGTGCTTCCAGCCATCTTTATCAACTAATTCGCTTGGGAAAGTACTGTGTCAGCATTGGCCGAAATTTCAAATCTGACCCTGCCAATAAGTCGCTCAAGCACCCATATTCAGGAACACCGATTCAAGATGGGCTGGTTTGATGGAAAATCTTCATCCTCGTCTTCCCACCACTCTCATTCCCGCCGACGTTCTTCCCCCTCACGACGTTCCACTTATTCAACTCATCATCCTCGTCACTCTGCTCCGTCGATATTCAGTCTGAACGGCGGTGGTAGTCGCGTCGGACGCACCAGCCCGTCCGTGCTTTCTTCATCCTCATCGCGGCGCGCACGGCCCCGAACAGGCTTCGTACAGAAGGTGGTTCGCGCCATCAAACGCTTGCTCCGTGACATTTACGACTATGCGCGTCGGAACCCAGTGAAGGTTCTCATGCTGGTTGTCATACCGCTCCTCACGAGTGGTGTCCTGCAGAAATTGCTCGCCATGATCGGAATCCGATTGCCAAAGGGGCTTTTTGGCGGGAATTCATCGAAGCCCAGTGGCAACAGCATGTCAGACAATATCAAGGGCCTCATGAATATTGCGAAAATGCTGATGTAACTACTGAGGCATTGCTTTGCGGTCTGTATTCCAGCGCTTCTGCACTTTGATGTATGAATGGGAATATCAGCGAGAATTAGTCAGAAAAGATAGACACGACACGATCATGATACGACAATGACGATACGACGCAAACTTGACCTGATGCTTCTTGGTTACGATGTCCGTTGGCGGTTGCGGGTAAATCCAAAGAGTCATGTTCCCGATATGTTTTTGATATTTATCGTTTACGGTGTTATGCAAATGTTCAAGTATTTAGACACGATTCCAATGAAACGTCCCAACGGCCTTCTGGCCTCAAAAATATTTTTTGGACACCAAACACTATTTGTACACACGCAATGGCAAGAATTGTTCGTAAGCTCTTCGAGGGGAAAAGCATCGAACCACAGAGAATACCGCTTATCAAGTAAGCGGGTTTCGCTATCTATATCGGATTCTTTACGATCTCTGAGACCGCTTTCCCCGCCTCCTTGCCTTGGAAGGTCTTGCAGAGCTGGCGGTGCCTTCAGTCGACTCCTCCACGACTTCGGAAAGCTCCTCCTCTGACTCAGCACCGCTATCCACGGCATTTGAAGTGAGCAACCTGCCAACCGTCTTAGAGTAAACCCAGCCCGGCAAGCGGAAGACCATCGTGTCACGAATTGTCGGACGCTGAATCTCATCGACGTCGAGCAAGAATTCCTGGCGCTCGCCATCTTCTGTTTCCTCCTCCAGGAACACATTTCCAAGAGAGTCGACAATCAGTACCTTCCCATTCTCAGCAATCACCTTCTTCCGCTCCCCAGTGGGCTCCGTCTGAGGCTCGGAAGTGGGCGTGGCCGTTCCAGAGTTCCGGGATGTCGCCCGGCCACCTTTCTTGCCCTCCTTGCGGTTCTCCCTGTCCATCATGCGTTTTTGGCGACGGTTCATAGGCATAGCACTCTGTTCGGGCTCCGGAGCCGGTGCCGGAGTTGGGGCAGGAGCTGAGGCACCATCAAGACCGGGGATACCCCGGACACCAGATTCATCACCCCAGGCAGCTCTCCTCGCTTGACGGATGTAACGATCGACGAACTCCCGCTGGCGCTTCCAGCCCAGCACCAAAGCAGCGTAGTGCGCACCACCACCAAAGACCAGAAACAAGCCAATAAGCACGGATCCCAGACCAGGACGGAATCGCGAATAGTAGTAACCAGTTCCCTTCCACTTGGGGAAACCATTCTTCAGGAAATGGTCGTAGCGCTCGCGACCGGGGCCACGGAGGATATTGGCGACGGTGTTGAGGCGAGCGGAGCGCTCATGAGCCTCCTTCACGGCCGCAGCGATTTCGCGCTTCGAAGGACCACTGTTGACATGGACACCGGACTTGGAGGACTTGGAGCGAGACTTGTCCTTGGAGCTGTTGGCGATGAAGGACCGCTTGACTTTATCGGGATGCAGAAGTCGGGACTTCTGACGGTAGGCCTTGCTCAATTCATCTTGGTTGGCGTTGGGTTTGGCGCCGAGAAAATCTGTCCGTTTGGAAAATGGTCAGTGGCGGGGGACTTTGGAGATGGAAGGGGAATTCGTTTGCTCAGGGGAAACGTACCGTAGAATGTCACATTGGGACCTTCTGCAGCGGCGAGTTCGTCATTGATACGGAAGATTTCATAATCTGGATAGTCGCAGAGTTTTAGTATGTGGGAATAGAGAAGTTTGCGGGATAACAGAAAGGAAAAAAGAGCAGCAACTGACCTTCTTTAGTCCAAGCCGCGGCCAGAACAATCAGGGCTACAAACGCAAACAGACGAAGTGCGATAGACCTCATCGTGGAAGAAGGGAGCGGTCAAGCCGCTGGACCCAAAGCGAATGAGAAGAGAACGAATGGAACAGAATGAGCAGTGGAGAACAATTGATGCGCCAAACAAAAGACTACATGCAACTCATGTTCATGATTCAACAAGTGGTGAAGTACTTTGTAACTTGTTCTTCCTCCAAAAACGAGATAGGTGGAATCCTCAGGCGACGATACCGCCAAAGCAATGATCTGTCATCAGGCAGGAATGGCGTTACGCTTACGTGACGAGAGAGCTAGGCCTAGAATGGGCAAATCCGGGTTCACCGCCCAGATCGGTATGGAACGCCTGAAACGGAATTACGATACGGGTCCAGTGGAGTCTGCAGCTGCACGACGTGGTCCAATAAAGGATCCAAGGCCAGGTGAGGAGAAATCGAAAAGAGGAGATAGGTAGATGGAAATGTGATTGATACCTAATGTTTGCAGAAGTGGCTATTCCAACTCACAGGCTGGCTGGCAGTAGAGAGAGGGGGTGGTGGTTGGGACAGCTGGGGTTTAAATTCGAGACAAGTCCCCTCTGGCAGTAGTGTAGTGGATAGTGAGTGAGTTACTGAGTGCTCTTCTTCCTTCGACTACCACCTGAAATAAGGTATATCAGACATGGAATTGGAAGAGCAGTGGAAGATGATTGAGGGGAAGTGATTGGGATGGCTGCTTGAGTAGTCCACCCTCAAGAGTGATCGTCTATCTCTCTTTCTGTCTAGATCTCTTCTTCCGCATCCAGCTTCGAAGGGTCTGTCTCTCTACTCTCTCCACCCATTGCTGCCCTGCTTTCTATTCTTAGCGGGCCTCATCCACCGTTGTATCTTGATTGGATTCGAGGGTCCATGAAACCGGAGCAGCGACTGGAGCAGTGACTCAAGCGTTGGATCCAAACGTGCCTTGTTTATTTGCCTTGCCATCCATTCCTCCGATACCTTATAAGAAGCACCCGAATCCACTTGTCTTCACAATTAACCTTCTTTGTTGCTGGGCGGTACCTCTCAAGCCTGTTACAAGGCGGATCGGTACCTGGAGGGTACTTACTTCAGTTACTTTGTCTGTGCTTCCCGCCTGGGACCGCCGGGGGGGAACAACCAACGGAAAAAATACCGAGACCAGTACTGGAATACGCCTAGACTAGTTCGGTGCTTCCAGGCTGCCAAAACGCCTCGTTGGTTTTGCTTTCGGGCCAGCTAAGCCGCTTCCAATCTTCCTCGACAAAAACATTCCCCGGTCTCTCTTCTCTCTCGGTCCTTCCCCCTTTTCTTTACTGCTTTTACTACACTTCATCACCATCATCTTACCGTCTTCAGTCTTCTCACACGTATCACTATTTTCCCGATCCACTTCATTTCATTCAATTATCTTACTCCTACCTTATCTTTCGAATTTCCTCCGAATCTCCAAAAATGCCTCTCCAGATCCCCATTGATGCGATTACCTCGCGCTTCGGCGAACGGTTCAACAGCGTTCGCTCTCAATCCCTCGGCACGCGCTTTGCCAACCTGCGTCCCATCTCCGAATTCCTGGACATCAAGCGTGTCTCCAAGCCCGCCCACTTTGGCGAGGTCCAGAGCCGTGTGAACTACAATCTGTCCTACTTCTCTAGCAACTATGCCGCCGTCTTCGTGATGCTCAGCATCTACAGCTTGCTGACCAACCCCCTGTTGCTCTTTGTCATCATCCTGGTCACCGGTGGTCTCTACGGCATCGGAAAGCTCCAGGGTCATGACCTGGAATTGGGCTTCGCCCGGTTCAACACTTCCCAGCTGTACACCGGACTGCTAATTGTCGCGGTGCCTCTGGGATTCTGGGCCTCGCCCATCTCCACTGTGCTCTGGCTGATCGGAGCCACCGGCGTGACTGTCTTCGGCCACGCCGCTTTTATGGATAAACCAATCGAGAATGCTTTTTCCGAGGAGGCGGTCTAGGTGGTCGGCCGCGAACTCCTTACGGTATGCCCCGATGGGGAAGACCACCGGGGGCACGAGTGGGGAGAGAAAACAGACGTGCAGCTCCGTGGGTGGACGGTGCGGCACGGATCGAGGAGATTGACAGCGAGGAGGAGGAGGATGCATACGCTCGATCGGCGTATGCGAGGCAGTCGGCGGGTCGGGAGGAGGGAGGAGGGCCTAGGTTGCGCAGGCGGAAGATGGATTACGATGATTATGTGGACGAGATGAATTCGATTGATGGGATGGACTATGATCTGCGTGAGGATATGGACAGCACGGTGGCGTATGCGGTTCAGCTAGCCATGAAGGACAAGGAGGAACGGTTGGTGGATCAAGCCTTGGAACGGATTCGACGCGCTCAAAAGCAGGGCCAGAAGAACGTACGACTTTCGGGTCGAGAAATGGAGGCGCTGGAGCGCAAGCGCATGCAGGCAAACCGGACCCCTGATCACGACTATCGGAATACAAGTCCCCAGGTTTCCCCCGGTGGCAGCCGATCCTCGAAGCCGCCGGACAGCCCCAGCAGCAAAAGGGGGGCGCAACGGAGGGGGTCCAATGCCTCGACAGCGAACAAGCATAGCGTGCCCTCACCGTTAGCCGAAAACAACGCTGCCTATGCGTTCTGGGCCTGGACCTCGGGGGCCTCTGGCGGGTCCCCAGCTTCTGCACGTTCGCCATCTGCCCGCACGCCTACAAGTCAAGCACCGCCTCGATCCCCTCTCCAGCCAGCTTATGCTTTCGACCGCCTGGCTTCCGTCCCTCAGATTCGCACACCGGTGGGCGTGAAGAGTCCCTCTGTGCGTTCCCTCCCTGACGATCCACAGTGGGGGCCTCCGTACCCTCCGCCGTATCCAAGAGAACCGCCGCCGTACCCGACCGATCGTCGACGCCCCGAGCCAACTCCATACATGTCAGGCTACCGCAGCGTCTTTGACGATTCTGCGCGTAGCAACAGGCGAGGCGTGAATGCTATGCCGGGGGCTGCGACGGAGGGGCGTCTCAGTGCAGAGGAAGAAGAGGAGGAAGGAAATAGTTCCGATAACAGCGCCATGGTTGAGCGCCGCGTGGCCGGCAGTACGCCGACACGGGGGCCAATCGGGCGAGGCAGTCGACCCCGGAGCAGTCGATCTTGAACCCCCGAATCGTGCCCTTTCAAAACGTTGCTTTCTTTTCTATCATGGGCGGCTCATGTCGCAGCTGATTTAGCCTTGAATGTTTCTTGCGTGGATTCCCATGGTTGATTTTCTTGCGCGTATAAAACGTAATGGAGTTCGTCTAGAGCGGGTTACCTGAAATGATACTATAGATAGTGATGATTTGTTGTCCAGATTATCATATTAGTAAATGTTAGTAATGTAACGCGTAGGGAGATCCCCAAGTAGTAGATCGTGGTGGCAGTGAAGTATGTATCCCTGCTGACGAGGGAAGCGAGACGAACTCGTGATACAGTTCATGCAAGTCACCGTGGCTGGTGGCGGTTCCCGAAACCTAAACGGACTGACTGACTATAAGAATTGTATCGACTGTATAAGACGATCCGAGCAGAATTGTGTCTGCCTAGACTACTAACTGGGCAAACGATGGGAGGATGAGCTAAAAGAAGTAGTAAGTAAGCAAGCAAGCAAGATGAATGTATGCATGAAGGAATTAACTAATTAATTGGGGCCTGAAATGCGAGGAACCGCGGACCGATGACGTCGATGAGGTCATGGGAAAATTGGCTGTGCAAAAGAATGCCAATACCAGCTTCTGTTTTGCTTCCACTCTGGATTTACTTTGCAGAGCTTCCGACCCAGCCGGCAGTCCATTGGATAGACTTTGGGATCTACTATGTACTACTACCACTACCCTTCAGCAGTGATGCCACTCTCCTGGCCGGTGGGCCCTCTTCGTCGTCACCATCTGGGCAGTTGCGTGTTAAATTAAAGACGGACTCGGTCTCTCCACCGACCCAGTCTTTTTGCTCTTCTTTTCCTTTTAGTCACTCTTTAATTCCTCTCCTCCTCTCCTCCCCTCGCTGCCAATTTCGCCCTCTTGTCGTCGGTCAAGGTGTCACCAACGCTGTCAAACGCCGCCTACCTCCCTCTTCCTGCTGACCCTCGGATCCATTGATTGACGACAAGCCACTTCCGCCCCTTCCGGCGCCCGCGTTCCACCCGATCGCCAATCGCGACATCTTATACTACCCCGAGTCAGTTTTTCACGGCAGCTCTTCTTTTTGGCAGCATCGGTTGCTAAAGTGCGCTGATTGTTGCGCTTGCTCGCTGGGACATTTATCACTTCACTGGAAGAGGGGAGGCCATATATAAATAATTTAGCGAAAATGTGGATTATATCATTTTGGATATTTCCGATTATCTCGGCGTGCACATGGATTGGTAGCGTCTCCCCCCTATACAATTACGGGTCAATTGTTCCGACAGAGACTGACAAGTCCCTTCTAGCCATGTTGATTGCGATGCTGGCCACCTGGGCCAGAGAAGGATCGCCGATATATGCCAGTATGGAGACGGGTCAGACCATTGCGTAGGTGTCACGCGACCTTGGATCTAGGATGCGATTGCGATGCTGATTTGTACACCTTTCGTTCTCTTCTAGGTATATTTCCGACGTTGGAGCACAGGGTCTGAAGCCGCTTTTCATTGCGGGCAGCTGCGTCACGGTCGTTTTCCTCGATCTCTCTTTCCTGTCAGAACGCTGGTTGCGACATGCGGGTCAATTGGTCCCGAACAAGGGCAAATTCGACAAGGCCTGCGCAATCGCGTCCATTTGCTTCTCGATTGCGGGCGCCTTGGGATTGATCCTCCTTTCGATCTTTGATACTCTTCGTCATCCAAATATGCATGATGGCTTTTTGATCATGTTCTTGTTAGTATTTCATTGCGCATTCGAGGAGAGAAACCCTCGAGGCTGACATATCTGCAGGGTTGGATACTTGATTAGCGCCATTCTCATTTGCTGCGAATACTGGCGTTTGGGAATCTTCTATCGCTCCCAGCACCGAGTGCTCCTGGCCAGTTTCATTATTAAGCTCTCATTCGTCATCATTGAAATCGCGCTGGCCATTGCTTTTGGTGTCCTCGGCAACAAGGGTGGTCATTACCGGAACGCAGCGGCAGTTCTGGAATGGGGTGAGTGATCTGTAGATGATTTCCAGCAGATATGGATAGATTGACTAACGGAGGACAGTGATTGCGCTCATCTTCACGTTTTACGTGCTTTCATTCGTGATCGACCTGCTGCCCTCGGTGCGCACGCGCAAACATGTGCCGCAGGGCGAGAAGGTGTCCCGGAATGGACAGACGACAGCGGCCTATCCCGATGGCACATACGACTACGAGGAGCCCGTGACGACGGACTCGGCAGGGCCCAATGCTAATTACTACCGGGGACAGCGGATATAAATAGGTCCTTTAGGAGTAGGCTCGGTGTGAGAAGTGGTTTGACTATTTTGGAACGATATTTAACGATATATACCCCGTGATAGGAGTGGTTGTATAATGGAGCTGAATTGATTGATATATTGTTAGTGTTGTTGATGTTGATGTCTCTTGGGACCTGATCTGCGATCCTTTTGCACATATTGATCTATGACGTTGACTGTATAGTACGTGCCTAATATCCGGATAATGTATGATCATTGAGATACTACCATATTGACCAGTAAAGACACCATAATAAAGCAGACATGATTACGTTATATCATCGAGTAAAGACATCATCTAGATCTAAAGAAATCAAATCTACCTATACATACCCACCCCTTTAAATAAAGATACCAAAGAAAACAATGTAAGAAATAAAAAATAAATAAATAGATCAAGCCAACAACACCTCCCTAATCCTCTCAACCTGCTCCCTCCCCACCCCAACCGTCCCCAAATACCCCTGTACCCCACCATACCTCTCCTCCAAATGCCCCCGAATCGTCTCCACAAAGTGCCGCGGACACTTGGTATACTCCTCCGACAACCCCAACAACCTCACCTCCTTCATGCGCTCCTCCATCTCAATGACCAATTCACCCTCAGACCGGAGATAATCCTCCCTCATCACCTCCTCAGGCACCACATCCGCCACAAGCAGAAGCAAAAGAAGGATGATAAGACCCGTGCGATCTTTGCCTTGTGTGCAGTGGATGAGAATCGGATAGACACTACTACTATCCTCAGTCTCATTCTCATCGCTGCCATCTGCGGTAGAGGTAGAGGTAGAGGACGACGTGGATGTAACAGAAGAGAATAAATCAAACAACGTCTTCATCTCCCCATAACTACTATCCAAGGTATCCATGCCTAGTCCGACTAATCCCCGCGGAGACATGACTTGCTGTCCGACTATTTGGACGGCTGTGGGGCGGTAGCCTGATGCTACTAGGGCTAGGACTTTGCTGTATATTTTTTTCTTCCTTAGTTTCTTTTGGTCTCTAGTGATTGTGATTGGGGAATAAGGATTTTTGGGAAGAGAGGGTGGGAGAGGAGGGGGGCGCGTACAAGAAATTCCACCAATCTAACCGCCACAGAAGCGTCCGCTCGAATGCTTTCCCTGTTAAGCTGACGGGGAAGCGAGTGACGGTTGGGAGATCGGGGAGGTGGATGTCTGTTGATGTTGTTGGTGCTGATGATGATGCTGTTGGTTCTGGTGCTGGTGCTGGTGGTGTTGATGATTGTCTTTCGGGTGACTCTGTTGATGATGTTGATGATGACTCTGTTGAAGAAGCGGCAGCAGCTAGTTCAGCTAAGCGCTTGTTGGTGGCTATTTGATGTTCGGTACTGTGTCTTTGTCAATATGAAGGAAACTAAGAAAGTTGAAGAGTAGAATAATACCTCGATCTCAGATCCACGACCGTTGAGATATGGAATTCGTCTACAAGACGGCGTTTGTCGCGCTCAGAGGCATCGTCTAGCTTTAATAAATTGGGATGATGTTAGTACCTGTTTCAATCATTCCATATACCATTGATATACAGAATATGTAAGAGTGGTAAGTATATATACCCTTGCACTTCGAAAGAGGATACCCTCTTTCAACACCCTATACAACGCTATCAGCATACAGCATACGATATATTGATATACATGGATATGCATACCTCTTCCCAATCAACTGGTTAATCGTACGCCCAACGTCCCGGAAATTGATAATGTTGTCGAACGGACGACCTGGAGAATCGAGATCTACGCTCGATTGGCGGGGATGCGAAGAGGACATGATTATCTTGTCTGTCTTGTTCTTCCAGGTTTAAATGTAATTGAGAGAAAAAGGAGGGGTTTATATATAGTACAATTGCAGTGTCCGTGATAATCTTTTGTGAAGATTCAATGCAGGCAGAATAAGGCCAGATAAAAAAGTGGGACAAGAAGTGGATGACTGGGAGGTCCGCTGTAATAAGTGCAGAAGTGGGAAACCCGAAAAGAAAAGAAAAAAAAAAAAAGACAAACAACCGCAAACCGGGCAGCCAATCGACCTAACGAACGGGACTAAGCATGCAGGAATCCAGCAAGATATCTTCGACAATATCCAAATGGCCCGGGCCAAGGCAGAAAAGGTGGAGGGAAACGTGGATGCGCCGATGGGGAGCCGCGCGGCAAATGGCGGTGGAGCTTCAGCCATCAACAACACTATCTTTATGGCCCAAACTATTATCTGCTCGCTGCAGTGCCGCCCATCGTCGGGCCAGTCAGCTTCTATTCTCCCTACGATCTACAGATAGTTGATATGTTTCCACCCGCTGTTGCATGCTCATCTCCCCGTTACAAGCATTGCATTGCTCATTTGCACACTAATTATCAGAATTGAATTCATCCTCGGTTCCATCACTGTCTGCCCAATCCTGGATCCGACTAAACACACAGCAAACAGCAATCGCATCCAACAAACACCCATCCCTACAGAAGTACACCGCAGTAGCACCGTAACATCAGTCAGAAGACGACACATTAGTGGTATGTACTCCAATTCCCTCCGCCGTAAAAGTACACAGTACAAACACAAAAAGATATTCCTACACAGTAAGATCAAATCCCACCCCGCGCGCCCCCCATTCAAATAGAATAATGGACAACACAAACCATCAACTCATATCAATCACAACTTCTCCGAGAACCTTGATTCCCGCCCAGTCCCGCTGCTCGCTCGCTTTGCCCGAACGGTTGGGACAGACAGGCCTTGTTCCGCCGCGCTCGCCCGCCGTTCCTCCGTCTCCACCCCCGGAGTGGGGATGGCCTGCGAGCTTCGACGAGCAATATCATTGCTGCCAATCCCTTCAGTCTTACCCTCCGACGAGCTCTTGGAAACAATCTTCTTGAACCCACTCACGAGACGACTGCGCCTATCTCCAGCGGATTCGTGACCTGCCTGGCTGACAGCTTCCTTCTCATCCTGGCCTTCGCTGACTGACATCCTTTTACTCATAACGCGAAGGTCGTTGGCCGTCACAGGATGGGATCGAAGCGCTGCTCCTCGCGAGTCGTCCTCGGCAGCTGCCTGTTCAGATTCTTCAGGGACAACAGGAGCAGCCGGTAGTTCCGGAACTTCGGGTTCCTTCTCTTCTGGATGAGCAATATCCCAAGCTCGCCCGTCCTCGTCTTCAGATTTCTGCACTGGCTCAGCTCTTGAGATCTCTCGAGCTTCCTGTGTTTCCACCCTCTCAGCTGCCTGGGGCTCCGGCAGTTGTTCCGTCTCTTCGACTGCCCGGGTCTCTGGCTGCTGCCCTGTGGCTTCAACTACCCGGGGCTCTGGTTGCTGTTCTACCGTTTCATTTACTTGAGCCTCTGGCTGTTCTGCAGCTGGCCCTGGTTCCATTGAAGGGACCACTTCCAGAGTGTCCTTGCCTGACGTCGTAGCTTCGCCTGCTGCGAGTCCACTCGGACGACGACCGAGCCGACCCTTGAACCATGATCTCAGCTTCGACTCGGACTTTGAAATGGCCTCGCCGGGAGCAGTCTCCGTAACAGCACCTGCAGTTGTCCCCTGAGCACCCTCCGTTGACGTCTGTTGCGGCGCAGTCTCAGCGCGTGCCTCGTCTGCTGCTCCGTCAACAGCCCCAGTTAACGTATAGGTTTCGTTCTCGGAAGTGCGCTTCGACTTGCGGCTCCACAAACGGGCTTTCTCCTCTTTGTACTTGGAGTCGGTCCTCAAAGAAGCTATTGCAAATGATTAGTCTTTCTCTCCAAGGTATCAATCAGCAAAACAACTCACCTCTCATGCGTCTCTCCTCTGCCCTTGTGTCGGCATCTCGCTCGCGTTGGATGGCTTCTCGTCTCTCAGCCTCTTCCTGATCAAGACGCTGCTCTATCTCCCTAGCTCGCTTCGTTTCCGCACGGTCCGTGATTTCATCAAACGTGGGTTGCAACCGGGAACGAGCGAGAGCCTCCACATCTGCCATGTCGACGTATTTCTGGGAGCTAATATTCACGCGGTCGGCGAACTGGTACTGCGCATCCGTCTCCTGTCTCTCCTTTGCGCGAAGTAAGGCGGTTTCCTCCAGTTCCTTCTGCATGGCGGCTGGGGCGCGCCCTGTCTCTGCATAAACACGCATCTCCATGTCTTGGATGGTAGCATCGACATTTCTTCTCGCAGCCTCCATCAGGAGCGCGCGGTCCTTTTCTCTGCGCTCATCCACCGCATCGAGCTTTGTTCGCAGACTATACATCTGGCTTCTGATCTCCTTCGACCTCTCAGCGTCAACCGAAGAAGCATCACTGTCGATTGATAGCCTTCGTCTGCGGACCTGTAAGCTAGAGCGCGTTGTCTGGGGCTCGATTCCGTAGTATTCGCGGTAGATGGCCGCCTCATCCTGCATGCTGGCCAACTTCTCCGCCGCCCGCTTCTCCGCGGCATCTTGTAAGCTAAAAGCCTGTTGCAAGATCATCGGCTCTGCTCCTGTCGCTGTCCGCTGGGAGCGCATGCGACTGGGGCTGATGGGGCCCTGCTCCTTGGCCTCAACAACCGCATACATGTCACGCGCCATAGAGACTGCTGCAGCCTGCAGGATGCTCTTCCGCTTGTATTCGTCGAGCTCTGGTGCGACGGGAGGGGTAGCGGTGTAAAGCCGCGCATTGGTGTTGGCAATATGCTGGATCCTACTAGCTTCCATGGCGTTGTCGAGATCCCCAAGGACTTCGCCCGCCTCCATTCCCACGTGAGGCGCCTCTGACGGGGCGGAGTCAGCTCTCCTTCGGTTAGCATATAAAGCACCCGTTACCGCATAACGCGTCCTATCTCGGCCTGTTGTACCGGAACGTGATTCGACCGTCTGACCAGCTCCGGACGAGTCATACTTGAGGTCTGAAGGTCCAGTGGAAGAGCTGACGATCGACCGACGGTCCCTGAGAACGAAGGCTGCAGCCTTGTAGCCTTCCAGGCTTGGCACATCGGAGGCGCGCTTGTCTTCCACATGCTGTGTTGTAGCTGCACCTTTTGTCCCCCATCCTTTGGATTGGGCGTGAGCGAGAGCGGCTACTGCAGATGCATGGCTAAATCCGGGGCGGGAGCCTGTCGCCTTCAAGGCTAGGGAACAGACGGACAGTCAGTATTTGGGGGGATTGGTCCTATGGTAGAGTGAATACGAATAGGCGAAATTGATACTTACTGGCTAGTTCCGTTTCAGCTGTCGAGGGCTCACGAACTGATAATTTCCGCTCTGGATGGGTTACATAGAGAGCGGCTGTCGCAGCTGTGCATGGTGTTGTGTTAGCTGTGGATTCGCTTCTCCGTATACAAAGTAAAGTGGGACATTAGGACGCATGAGATCATCGATCATAGCAGCGTGGAGATATGATAAAGTAGGGTAGGGATGTGAAACAGGCTAAGAGGGCACAGGGCCGATCAGGAGCCCAGGATGCAAGGACGCAGATCGTAACTCACCTTGATCCGCTAAGCGGGCAGACCGGGAGCGACCGAGGGTAACGCGTTCGACGGGCGCGGGTTGTTCAAGGGTGGTTGCCATGATAAGATAACGACGATCGTCTACAGGGTAGAAGAAGGCGAGGCATTCCTGACGAAGAGGAGATGGGTGGAGGAGAAGGGAAGGAAAAGAGGAGGAGAAAAGGTAGGGATTGGGAAAGGTTAAAGGGTAGGCAGCAAAAGGGAAGAAACGTTAAAAGGTGGGTGTTGTAAGAAGGGGGAGGGGATAAAGTTAATGACGCCGATGATGCTGTGGGTAGAGTTTCATGAGGTGGTAGTAGTACTGGAGAGTAAGGGTATGAGTAAGTAAAAGCACTGTACTGTTTAGTTAGTTCGGTTAGTAGGCAGAAAAAGGGAAGGAACGACTGCCCACGCTGATTGGGGAAGGAACAGAGCAAGAGCTAGAGCTAGAGAGGAAGAGAGGAAGGAAGCTGAGAAGGGAAGGTGCGAGTGACATCAGGGCCGGGAGCTGATGTCATGATGAACTGAACAGACCCGAAAATGGTTGCATTTCTTGCTTCTTCCGGGGGTGCCTGGCAGCTCTTGTCATCGACTTTTTGACTCTTCTGCAGTTCCTTCATTCAGCCTTATTCCATGGTTCCAGTTCTTCACTAGTGGGATGGTGAACTTTAAATATCTACATCTACAACCAGAGAGCACAAAACAAGTCTGACGAACATTATTCCCACGGTGGAGGGATGATCAGGCACTCATACACTCATGCACTGTCTGGTAACGACAGCCATCATGCATCCCATCCACCTCTCTACCCACTCACTAGCTAGTCTAGACTTGCACACGCAAGCACCAAATCTGGGTCTGTGTAACAACTTAGTAGACTAGACCCGGAGCCTTCAGATCCAGTCCCGCCTAATCACTTTTAGTGTTGAAACTAAATGCCATAGCCATTGTTATAACTGGTGGTCCGGATGAATTGCGCGCGGACCCGGGGTCATGTCATCATGGCAGTGCCTGCCTTGCTCGTGCTATTCGCTATACCCCAGGGTTGATAATATCGCAGGGCTCTTAAAGATGCACGTTCCCCCCCGCGCAGCCCAAGGGATTAAGTATTGTTGAAGTTATCTATCTAAACTAGTCTCAGTCATTCGTTTACGAACCCCTCTTTCTCACCTTCTTCCCCCCTCCCTCTCTCACCTTCACATCTCGTATTCCTCATCCTCCCAATTCCTGTTTCCCAATAAATATCCCTAGTAGCCTACCAGGCTCCAGTTGTATACCTACATCTTACTACACCTCCGCCACACCATAAACAAACAGACAGAAACCCACCCACCCACACCACCACCACCATGTTCTGGTTCTCTTCCCACCAACAACAACAGCAACAGCAACAACCTCCTCTCCTCCCAACCCTCCCCACCTCGAAATCCAAAATCCGTAGAACCCTCAAAGCCCCCGGCCGCCCCATCGCCATTCGCAAAGACCACATTACCGACACCAAGACCCTCCTAATCGTGCGTCCCCAAGGCGATGCCCAATCCGCCGTGGCATACAAAATCCAAGATGCCGACGGCATGACGCTCTACACCGCTACAGGGCGCAAGTTCAGCAACCGACCATGTCGCGAGTTCCGCGATGCGTCGGGCCTCCCACTCTTCGAACTACACCGCAAGACCTCCTTCAAGAACAACTGGTCCGTCACTTTACCCGGCAGTAACCCAACCAGCCCGATAGCCAAAGGTGCTGTCCAGCGCTCATCCTTCAGTGCCGCCGGCTGGGGGAACTGCAACTTCACCATCACGTTCGACAATGTAGCTGCAGCAGATGGGAAGCAGCCTGAGGAGCGTACCCTGACATTGGAAGTGCAACGGCATGGGAATGTGCTGGCGCTGTTTGATATCGTGGATGGGGATCGCAAGATCGCCGAGGTGAAGGAGAGTATTCGCCATAATGAGAAGTTGGCGCTTATGCCTGCGTCTCGCCTTGGGTATCGTCCTGTACTGGATGTGATTGTTACTCCCGGCGTGGATATGGCTCTGGTGAGTTTACCCATCTTTCTGTTTTCCATAGAGTATATATACTGCATAATACTACATGGAGTATCTATACAGTGTACAGAAATCATGTTCTAACTAACCGGGGATTTTCTAGATTGCAACGATTGCGGTCATTGCATCGGACACCGTGTTTGCCTCGAATTATTGATTGCGCGCATGTTTTTGGACTTTGGATATGTCGGAACGCCATTATGGTTACCATGAGATTACGAAACTGATGACTCTCTTTCTGTCTATTCCTCTTCTTTCACCTTTCAATTTTTTTTTTCTTTTTCTTTTTCGTCGCTCTTGTTTTTCCTGATTCTATTGTGGTCTTTTTTATCGGCTGTGGGTACTTAGGTGGCTCGCTGGGCTGCGTTGAACCGCGGTTGACGGATTCCAGGCGTTTGGATGGCTTCCGGAGCTTCCCCAATGCTACCTTACTCTACCACTTCGTCAGTGGATCCATCCATGGGTTTACTGTGGTTCTACTTGCTTGGCTAATTCAATCCTGTCCGGAGAGGTCACGCGGGACGAGTCCTTCCAGCCTCGGGAGTCTTCGGGTATTGTTTTGTTTACTTTTGTTTTCTTTTTCTTCTAAAACTCTAGAGTCGAGCTAAAAATGTATATAGTTGCGATCGCTGAAAGTTACTGTCAAATCCAGTGAGGGGTATTCTTAACAAGGGAGAAACAAAAAAGCAAATAATCAAAGATCATCATCCGTAGATCGTGTATCTTCACCGCAAGTGCAGCATCTTCAGAATATCATGGCGGCTGAAGAATGAGCGATTCCATTTACCGAAGATATCTAGAAACACGTTAGTCCCTCCCCGGGCGAGTAGGAGTAGGAGTAACAGCAAGAAACACCTACACATCGGAATGCTCAAGGCACAGACTCCCATCTGAATGCTAGAGATGGCCAGGAAAGCCGGCTTGATGCCATTCAGCAACAGCCAGTCATAGGCATAGAACGTCAACACAAAGCTGAACATGTTCTTGAACACCAGCATGCATGTAAAAGACTCGATGGCAATCTCGCCTGTTGGAAGCGTCAGCTTTGAACCATAATAAATCCCGCATCTGGCAGCTATACTTACGATGTGCATCGACAATGTACAGCGCACTCGCGACAGCGCCCATCACCATGCCTATGATAACCAGAGCGAAGAACACGTCCGCCACCAGCCATCCATATCGCGCGACATCCTCAGCGATGATACCAAACCCATACAGCCCGGCGCCGCAGAAGATCAATTGGAAGATCACGAGGAGGATGCGGAACTCCGGCTCGTACTTCCCTCGGTTGAGTTTAATCATGATGCGGTTCATCGAATCGGAGAGAAGGCCCGATAGGATCAGACCCAGTATGGAACCGATGAAGGCCCCCGTGTACAGGTACCCGGTTTGCACCTCGTTGAACCATAGGGGTGGGCCGAGGAAGATGGCGGCTAGGACGACACCGATGAATACGGTCCATCCGATGATTACGCCTTGGATCAAGCATGCCTAGTATGATGGTCAAAACGTAAGCTTGTGGCTTGATGAGGCTTTCTGCAGCATGGCTTACCCAAAGGATTGCGGGGTGGAAGAATAAGGGAAAGGGCCGTAAAAGGAGCTTGATGAAGCTCTCGTCGGTTTTGCGTCCATTGAAGGGTTTAAGAGTTTGGAGGTAGGACACCTTGGCTGGTGTTTCTGACTCTCTCTTTCGGGGTAGCTCTTGTGAGGACGTAGGTTGGCGATGCTCGACTGCGGATGAGGTCTGCTTTTGATTGTCGGGCCCTGGAGTAACCTCCGACGTTGTGATATCATTGAGCTGGACTTCCGAGGCGGAGCGATCGTTGGCATATTCGAAGTCAGCGTTCAAGTAGTCCGGTCGCTTGAAAGCTGTCTCGGGGACAAAGAAGAATGTGAGAGGTAGTGCTGCCGCCGTGAAAATGGCTACCAGGTAGAAAGTCCAGTCCCATCCAAGGGTATGTGTGATCTTGCCCGCCAGTACTGGCGTAAGAAAGGCTGCACCAAAGAGAGCAACGTTGGACAGTGCCATCCGTTTGCCTCGTTCCTGTTTGCTTGATCAGCATGTGCTTGTGAGGTTCGTGAGATGCGGTTTATACTCACGTGCACGTAGAACAAGTCACCGACACATGCATTGACCAGAGCTTCGAATGGAGCAAGAGCAATCCCCTGGAAAATACGAGCCCATAACAGACTCTGGTAGTTGTGCTTACTGCCCCCAGCCCAGGCACAGCTCACCACCATCAAGGCATTTCCGAGCAGGAAGAGGTGACGCTTTCCCCAAACTCGTGCTGTAGGTACAATCAAGATCCCAGCCACTCCAACACCACAGAGATGATACCCAGTTAGAAGCGCGACTGAGGTGAAGCTCTTGCCATAGTAAAGAGCAATTGTTACGGTGTTGGCAGCCATCAGCGAGCTTGTCGTTGCGCACAGCACCGCGACAAAAGACAGAACCAAAAGCATGACATCGCGCTTCCAGAGTGGCCAGTTCTTGTTTCGAGATTGTCAGCTATTGCCCATGTAGCTCGTAGCTCCTCAAGAGTGACTTCAACACACCAATGGATCGTTGGGATCATCGCTTGGCTGAGGGACAAGTAGGATGGGTACAGAGCCCGACCGATCGTATTTTAAATTTGAGTCGATGACCGGCTCATTGTTGGAGTGTTCTCGCTCAAGTATGTCCGTGGTCCCTATTCAAAAGCAGTGTTCAGTGTATTTTGCAGAGACAAGCATCGCTGTTGCATGAGATGGCTCCTACCTGGTACATGAGGGCGCTTGGTATCCAACACGCCAAGCCCCATGGTATTATTTATTCGTAGCCAGGAAGATACAATAAGAAACAAGAGCGAACGGTCACCGGCTAAGGTGGAATCAACCGAAAGATAGTACAAGGAAGCCTATTGTTGATGGTCGGACGCCTAGACTCCTCCGGCTGGGGACTCTGGAAGGCGAAATCAAGGTCCCACGAGGATCACGCGGGGAAGTCGTCATGCAAAGTGTTCACAATTGAAGTATTTCTAGACGAGGGAATACAGTTTGCGGGGAATTTCTGCCTTCCAGAAATTCATAAATGATGGGTGTCCCGAGGGGACATTTCTCGTTCTGCAAGGGCGGTGGTAGTAATGAATAATTACAACCCTAGTTCGTGTATATCATCAGAAACCAAATTGGTGGGCGCGGGTCAGGATTACCCTGGTGAATTTACTACTGGCTATGAAAGAACGAAATAGTCTAGTACTCTATTTCTAACGGGGGCGGCCAGACCCAAAATTGGATCGTGGACCCCAGCCTTCTGACCATCTTTCTGAAAGTACTTGTCTGGAGGATGTCGATCGGATGAGGTAGTGTAACTCAAAGGGATAACTCATTTATCAGACACGGCAAGTCTATCATACCTAATAACTCATACCAATCCTGTGTAATTTTGTCTTATTGGACATCAGGGTGATACACAAAGAGACACTAGCACATCTTGCAAATTCTTGGAGGTCGAATCAAGCCTACACCTTACAAGGTGTACGCTGAGAGAAACTTTATATTGGCTAATAAGCGCCACACAATCCTTCCGCAGTGATTAGCCATGTTCACATCGAAGCCCTCCTCGGCTGCTCATGCATGCATGCATAATCCGAGGCTGCAAGCAAATGGGGAGACATTCATTTCAAGACTGAAACATGGCTCCGATGCCCACTCAATTTGAAATGCAAGGGATACTGATCAGGGCCAGAAGACCACCTGAAATGAACACTTCCTGCATGTTGGGGCCTCGAAAGTTTGACCAGTCCAGCTGAAATCTCCAACTTACACAAGTAATCCTGGCTGGAAGATCAACAATTGGCTCGGGGGATCTTCATACAAGATTGGGCCATCCATTAGACTACCTTTCTAGTGGCGGGCGAAGTGAACTCCTCCTCTCCTGGAGGTGGCTCGTACTTTAGATACATGAGTAGATAGATATCTTAGTTTCTGTCCAACTTCAGTGGTTACTTCGGTGCACTGGCATGCATAACTACATTCCTCCGGGGTTCCGACGATGGTCTCATGGACCATTGTTTTCCTTATCCATTTGGTCACCTCCCTTATTCTCTGCTGCCAGTCAATGGCATGGGCAGCAACCTAGCAGTACGTATGAAGTACTAGTACAATGTCCAGTGTTGTCATTATGTATAACAAGCGGATTGGCCATCCGCCATCGGAGCAAAACCCACCAGGGATACTTTCTGGGGCCCGCTTAGGTACAACCTAATATTATAGATAGCCCTTGAATTCGTTCCAAGTATCCTATTAATTATCTCCTCACATAATGAGCATAACAACGGAAATCCTCACTTTTTGATGAAGTAGGCGCTCTTTCCTGGGACGGGTTTCATCGATATAGATAGTGTAGCAGTGATTGGTAGTGGTTCTAGCTAGAGACTCCAAAGGCAAGGAGCTTCAAATACACAAACTCATACTAAGACAGACCTCTTGGCCATGGATCACTTCTGGAGTGCCTTCCAAGCCAGGAAGGGAGGTGAATACTGTTGGCTAGACCCCAATCGTTCCTTCTTCACTTGATTCATGTGTCACATTCCCTCCACTTCCAGCACTTTGTCTACTTCTTGCTTCTTTTCCCCTTCTCTTCTCCCACTTTATTCTCCCCTCGTTTCGAGCCCCCAATCGTCTTTCCATCAACCAACATCTCTCTATCCCATTTCATAACCCGCTAGTCAAACTCCAAGGACATGATGAAGCTCTACCACGTTAGCTTGGCTCTTTTCGCTGGCCTGGGCTTGGTAGCTGGCCAGGGGATGGACAGCCTTCCACCCTGCGCGGTAAGTCCCAGTTACGACAACTTGTCTGCCCGAGTATTGCTGGTTCTATGTAGCTGAACCGATCCCAGAGAGACTGCGCCACCGGTTCTATCCCTAAAACTTGCAAGGCCATTGATGTGAACTGCATCTGCTCCGACAAGTCCTTCATCACTGGTATTTCCTGCTGCGTTGCTTCTACGTGCTCTGCAGAGGATCAGACCTGTATGTCCAATCTTCCTCTCCCAATATCCTCAACCCTTATCTGGCCGTGTGGTACATGGCGTCGGCTCGGCTATAATGACGGCTTCTAATGGGTCGATCGTGTTCCAGCTGCCCTCAATTTCGCACAGCAGATCTGCGGTGGCGCCGGCGTAACTGATCTCCCCCAAAGCGCCAGTTGCACAAATGGAAACACCGCGAGTGCTACTTTGCAGACCACGGGCACAACGACTGGTGCTTCTGCGACTACTACCTCGACTGGTGCAGCTAACGGAACCCGCCTCGACTCATCCAGCTCTGCCAGTGCGGCGAATGCTACCAAAACGGGAAGCAACACTCAGTCTGTGAAAACGCAGGGCGCTACTGCAACTGATAAGAATGCCGCAAGCAATGCGACTGCTAGCAGTGCGGCTGGTATTATTCTGGGAGATAGCAGTGCTGGCCTTGCTGCGATCCTCGGGGCAGCCTTTTATGCATTGCTTCTTTAGAGGGCACCGGATAACGGGTCACCTGATGGTGCTACGAGTGATGATCATTGAGAGCAAAAGTGGTTCTGTCCTATGTTCAGGGCGGCAGAATAGTGTCCTACAAATAATCGCCTTTCACGAAGGCTGGCTAAATTGAACTGGACCAGCAGTTAACTGTAATATGCTTATTAGTTTGTATGATAGGATCGGAATCAAGGTCACAGTGTCTTTTGCCGCAGAGGTCACTGTATTGCCTACAAATAGAGATGTATACTCAGTAGTGCGAGGGTCATGCCGACTGCATGAATTCGTCTACCGGTCCTGTTCCACGAACCGGTTAGCTGCTTCCTGTCGCTCTTCCCTGAGGGTGATGAAGATCTATCAATTGTCAGCAAATCATGACACTGGCATACCCGCCAGAGCTTTCTCTGGGGAGCAATCGTGGGGCGGGGGAAAAGCTTACCCATAACCAAAACATCATTTCCATAAAGCCATATGTGAATACCACCCTGTTTTTCAGCTGATCCAGACCCGATGTAGCGGCACCGGCAGTGCCGTAGTTCCCCATTCCGGTAGCGGCATCCATTCCCCACGCCGATGGTTGACTCTGGTATATGAAAAAGGAAACGGCAAAGAAGATACAGAAACGAGCGGCGGAAAGGAGGGTCCAGATCTCCGAGTAGAGCGAGGTCAAGCGTGCCATGAAGGGGTTCGTGCGTACAGCCCCTGCCACTGGTATAGGTGATTGCACTCTAGCGGCTTGAGCCATGGCCAGGATCTCGTTAATTTGCGGGACCTTGGTCACAAGAATGAGGTCGACCAGGGCATCGACGACGAGAAGGACACCGCATAGGGCGAAAGGGGATTGAGGTCGGGAGATACTAGGGGTTGCCTCCTGAATTGATTGAACGAGAGATATTTAGTAAACCGACGGGAGGTATCAAGGGGGCCGAGTGAAGATATAAACATAAACATACCAGATTCAAGAACTCCCCCAGCATGAAGACGAGGTCAGACTCGGTCACGACCTCTGGCGACCTGGTCAGGTACACGGCCAGCACAAACAGGAACAAGGCATGTGCCTGGATCAAGGTCTTGGAGGAAAGGAGAGCCATGCTGAATTGATTGAATGGCTGTAACGGGCAGCCAGCTAGTATTGTTTTCTGGTGTAACACATGCGTTAATGTATCACGGCCGGGTTGCAGAGAGTATTCGAAAGGTTGAGCTCTGCAGCTGTCTCAATTGTGAATAACAAGAAACATTGTTTCGACCGATGGGATTAGAATTGGGGAACGAGAATTGGATTTCCCCGGCGGCCGAGTGGGGCTGGACTTTTGGCAGCCTCCGATCGAGATGGAGAAGAGCAGGCCGGGAATGCGCAAGACCAACAATTAGCGGAAGCCCACCCCCCTCTCAAAGAAAAGCAATTTGTCGGCTTATTCGGAGGAGGCTCCTGTCCCCTTTTTCTCCTGGTGCACACTCTCTATACCTCTATATTAACCTACATTATATGGCCAGAGCTCCGCACGGGAGAAGTTGGTATTATTATCGCGGGCACTGACATCATGACCGACGTCCCAGTCACCTTTACCAAAGAACGACACATCAAGTATTTCCTACGATGTCTCAAAACCTTCCTTCCCAGCCTATACACCTCCAATGACTCCAATCGCATGCTTCTCGCCTTTTTCACGGTCGCCGGCTTAGACCTCCTCGGCGTCTTGCAGAGCAAAACCACCCCCGAAGAGCGACAAGGCTACATCGACTGGATCTACCACTGCCAGGTTCCCACGGGCGGATTTCGAGCCTTCACTGGAACGGATTTTGGCGCGAGGAATCGGACATCGGATAATGAAGCTTGGGATCCGGCAAATGTACCTTCTACCTTCTTTGCGCTGGAGCTCCTTATCATCCTGGGCGATGATTTATCACGAGTGAAGCGGAAGGAGTGTCTACAATGGCTGCCGCGCATGCAGCGTGATAATGGAAGCTTTGGAGAGGTGCTGGGTCCGGGAGGGAAGATTGAGGGTGGTGGTGATCTACGCTTTTGCTGCTTTGCGGCAGGCACGCGGTATATTCTGCGGGGGAATGGCGGGGCAGATGTGGATGGCATCAAGGACATTGATGTGGACAAGCTGGCCGCGTTTGTTCAGGCATGTCAAGTAAGTGGCCTGCACTCTTTGACTCCGTATAATCTGATATGTGACATATGCTGAGATGCATTATTCCAGGCATATGATGGCGGTATGGGTGAAGCACCCTTTTGTGAAGCGCATTGTACGTTCTATCCAAATTGCTCACTCTGCTTAGAATTGGGCCCCCCGTTATTGTTACAGAATGGTAGCTTACTCGTATACCCCCGCAGCCGGTCATACGTATTGCGCAATGGGCGCCTTGACGTTCTTAAATCGTATGGCAAAGGATCAGAAGCCACCGCCAGTCCTTTCGCCAGGCGCGAACGAATTCGAGTCCTTGGTTCGTTGGCTCGTTGCCAGACAAACGACAGAACTCGGCGACACCGAGGAGGACTCGGACGATGATAACAGCCCGGAGGTGAATGAGGTTCCGAAACCGGTACCGGAGGCTGTTGAAGAAGTAAGCTTAGATGAGAGCCTCGATAAGCTCCCCGCTATACCGCCACCAACGGAACAGGATCTACGATGTGCAGGCTTCAATGGGCGATGTAATAAGTATGCTGATACATGTTACTCATTCTGGAACCTGGCGACATTAGATGTAAGCAACCACAGTTTGTGTGAAAGAGTGAAAGAGTGACATTGCTGATCCGATCGTCCGTGGACAGATGATGAATAGGTTAGACCTCGTGGACGCAAGTCGGAATCGGCAATATCTTCTCGGGAAAACACAGCATATCATCGGCGGTTTTGGAAAGGGTGTGGGCGAGCCACCAGGTTGGTACCCTTGGGGGTGTTATTAATGTCTGGTAATTTCCTCGCTGACTGACCATTGCAGATCTCCTCCATTCCTACTTTGGGATGGTCGCCCTCGCGTTCCAGGGGGAGGAAGGGCTAGATGGGGTTGATCCAGCGCTGTGTATGAGCCATCGGGCCGTGCAGCAACTACAGTCTCTCCCTTGGTGGAAAGAAGGGGTTTGAAGTGATGGGTTAATTGAATAGGGTCGGAAGCTTTGGGTCTCGGGTCTCGGTGAGATGGAACTTGTCAGTCATATACCCCAACCATGCTAAATGAATTGATTGTTTATATACACGACAGTAATGAGCCAACTTGATGTTACTGTACTTGTGTATCTTCTAGCCTTTACAATGTAGATAAGGTGACCCCCCTCCCCGTATCGGGTTATATTGACCTATAGAAGTAGTATGTCACAGATGATGCAGTCATCGTATGATGTGATGACTGATTTCCAGGACTTTCTATGACAACTTATTCAATCTCTGAAGTGACAGGCCCGCGAAACAAGATGGACAATCCATACCAGATACGTGTGGTAGGGGCGTTTACAAGAAGAAACTAGGGAGGCATGTCATAAGCGAAGACCCTATCAGAGCTTTAAGTGTCGACTTATTCTTAACCTGTCAAAGTAATCAGGGGGTTCGGATTTGCCGGGAGTTAATTAGTTAGGGACCGCCGCGCAAGGTTGACTAAAAAGCGATGACGATGTTGATTGAAAACGGCTGTTAAGTTGGGGAATTTCAGGGGCTGCTGGCTGACTAGACTACAGTAAGTACGTAGTTATGAATGATGCTAGCTACTACTAGTAGTTATGATGTTATGATCCACATATGCCCCCAATTACTGCTTCTTTTCCTTCCTGTAACGGGAAGCAAGGCCGGGATCGATGACATCGGCCCTTCGGAACGGCGGACGGAACGGTACAGAGTATTTTGCATAGTTATGCTAATCGGAGAGGGGGGAGGACTATTTTGACTATTGAGGAAAGAAGAAATCTCGAAGGATCAGGAGTAATCTTAAATTCTCCTGGATTGTAAGTTTATTTTATTACTCCGTAGTAAGAAATCCATAATATAATTTGGTAAGAACAAATAGTAATGGAAAATGAGATAGTAATACCTCTGAGGATATGCAAAGCCAGTCCCAAAGGTGCCTGAACGCAATGACAGAAACGGCCCACGTTCCCACCGGCTAAAATGTGGCCGGGCGGCTAAGAGTAATTAATTAACAGTGAATAAAATACTAGTATGGAATTCGAAGATGGAAGGGGGAAAATAGAAATAGAAATAGAAATCGTAGGTTTGACATTTTATAATAATAATAATAATATCACTATTATTGTTGGAAATGGGTTTCGGAGGTTTTTATGGGGAAAGGAGGAAGGGGAGAAAAGAAACAAACAATAATAATAATAATAATCATTCCAGTGTACGTAGAAGAGTTACTGTTAGTAAATATCCTTCTTACACTCCTTTCAGCATCATTGTCACATTTCATTCTTTGTTCAATCACACTCATTTTTAATTAGCCAGTATATTGTTTTGAGGACCACAATTTTATCTGCTCATCATCATCACAATCATCATCACTGACCACTCCACTCCACCCACCCACCCACACAGACAGACATAGTGAGTCTCCTCCCTCTTTCTCTCCCCTGGGCTCATGCACGCCCCTGCCGGCTGTCGTCAGTCCCCCCCAACTCCGTCCTTGCCAGGCTCTCCTAACCCAGTCCTCCTCCTACTACTTCCACTACCAAGACTACTATTATTATCATCGTTCCTTTCCTTTCCTTACCCCCCTCCATCACCCTCAACTTCCTGCTCGCTTGCTGGTCGGCTGGCTAGAGAATTTGAGGCGTGCTTTTTTACTTTTGCTTGCTTGCTTGTCTGCTGGCTAGCTGGCTGGCTTGGCTGCTGCTTTATTGAAATTGCCCAGCACCTGTCGTCATCTAATACCGGATTTATTGTTTCTATTCCACATCGCTGTACAGATTGCCCCTCAAGCTACGGGCCCTGCCTTACTACTAACTAATCATCATCAACCTTACTGAGTTTGTCTGGCTGGTATGTTTTTGCCTTCTTTTCCAGAACATCCCCCCCCGCGCTCTCTTTGGCTTTCTCTTCCCTCTCCTTCATCCACTCCCGCACTTTTGTTTGCAGCTTGTCGCTATAGAACCACATACCTTCCTGAAACAACACTAACGTCCGCTGGATCTGTTACTATCTAGCTTAGTGTATCATCCCTTATCGGCCTCCCCTACTCTGCCCGTTCCTTCTCCGAATTATTGCGGTTCCGAGCTTTCCACACTCCTGCCGACAACTAGCTACTAGATAGCTACCATCACCGACTTGCGCGCCCGTCCTACGTTCCCTCGTGCCTCAAAGTTCATTCGAGCTATCCGCCCCTCATTCCTTTTGTCACAGATTAGACCGTCATCATATACTCTTGTATTTCATCGGCTGTTCCGAACAATCGCCTCCTTGATACCTTCCACTCCTTCTCACCCACGTCGGCGTCGATTTGCGATCTCCTGGAACCCCCACCCCTTACAACCGGAGCGACAGCGGCCTTCGGTTCACTCTCTATATATTCCTCCCTACGTTGGATGGCCACCCTTGACACCTTAGTACCACTCCAATCCTGCACAGAACCATCTCAGACACGCATACTCCATCTCCGCGGACTTCCCCCAGGCAGGCGGAGATAATCTTAACACATGCCACCTCCGAGGACGAGAGCGGAGGTCCAGGCCCAGAAACAAAAAGAGAAGGTGCGTCTCGGCTTTTTGATTTTTAAGTTTGGAGGTCGAAGATCCTCTGCAATGCGCATGTCCTATTCTCCGCCATCTCTCTTTTCTTTCGGAACACATGCAGGACTCCGTCCCCGGTCCAGGATCGAATCCCTTTTTCTCTTGTCTTGGTAAATGGCTCAACTGACTGGGATCTTGCGCTATGAACAGCTTGCCCAATCATACAATGCACTGCTGGAGTAAGCAAAACTCCCCAACCTCGCCTTCGTCTTCAGCCTGGATGCTAACAATAATCGTCTTCATAGGGAATTCTCTTCGAAGGATCTTCGCACTGTAGGAAACTACACGCTTGGGAGATTGATTGGGAAGGGTTCCTTTGGCAAAGTATATCTCGCTTCACATAAGCTTACCAATGGCTCCAAGGTACGT